TGTACCCCAATTCTGTATGCACAAATAAATAATAAAAAAAAAAGTTCCCATGGGATTATAACTGAGATGGAAAAAGGCACAATGATGTAAAAATAAACTATTATTATTAAAAAAAAAAAAAGAGTCCCAGGCACATACAAAGCAATTATAAGAGGAAAATATGTAGCAATACAGGCTCACATAAGAACAAGAAATAAAGAAACAACATAATTTTCCATTTTAAAGTACTGGAAAAAGAACAACAAAATAATCAAAAAGCCAGTAGAATATAGGAAATAATAAAAATCAAAGCAGAAATAAATGAAATGGAAGTTAGGAAAACAATAAAAAAAATCAATGAAAACAAAGTTGGTTCTAAAAAATAAACAAGATAGATGACTAGTCAGGCTCACAAAGAAAAAACAAGAGAAAGCACAAATAAACAGAATCAAACGAGGAGGAGAATTCACAACAGATACAGCAGAAATCAAAACAATAACCAGAGAATACTATGAACAACAAACAAGTGCAACAATTTAGCAGAAATAGACAAATTCCTACAACTCTACAATCACCCAAAGCTAGATAAAGAAGAAACAGAACAATTAAACAGACCAATTAAAGGAAATTGAGGAAGTAATCAAAACCCTCCCCAAAATAAAAGCCTAGGACCAGATGTGTTTACAAATGAATTTTACTGAACATTCAGAAAAGAACTAGTGCCTATTCTACACAAACTCATCCAAAAAATCAAAAAAAAAGGAAAACTACCAAATACTTTCTACGAAGCCAGCATCATAGTAATACCAAAACCTAACAAAGAAAACACAAAAATAGAAAATTTCAAACCAATTTCCCTAATGAACACTGATGCAAAAGATCCACAACAAAATCTTAGCCAACAGAATCCAACAATGCATTAAAAGAATAATACACCATGACCAAGAGGGTTTTATCCCAGGAGCACAAGGATGGTTCAACATCAGAAAATCAATTAATGTAATTTATCACATCAACTGACAGAAGAATAAAAACCATATAATCATATGAATAGATGCGGACAAGGCATTAGACAAAGTTCAACATCCATTTATCTTGAAGGCCCTCGAAATCCTCGGAATAGACGGAACATACTTCAACATGATAAAAGCTATATATTACAAACCACCACCAATATTATTCTCAATGGAGAAAAACTGAAAGCCTTTCCTTTAAGGTCAGGAACAAGACAAGTGTGTCCACTATCACTACTGCTCTTCAACATAAAATTGAAGTTCTAGCCAGAGCAGTAAGACAGGAGAAAGATGTACAAGGAATCCAAATAGGGAAAGAAGTAAAACTATATTTGCAGGCAATATGATAATTGATGTGGGAAACCCTAAAAGCTGCATAAAGAAACTAATCAACACAATCAGCCAGTTTATTTATTTATTTTTAAGACTTATTTATTTGTGCATACAGAACTTGGGGTACAGTCCAGAGGCTCAGGGGTGGTGAGAGGCTTCACCAGAGAGAGTGGGGAGCAGAACAAGCAGATCTATGAAGTACACTACTGAGGGGAGTAGCGGGTGGGTCAGGAGAGATCTGCCACGCCATGTGGTCACCTCTGGGGCAGGCGGATATTGAACTCATGAGGAAGTGGCTTTAGCTTTTCTTAGTGCTGTGCTTTAACCCGCTGTGCCACTAGAGAGGGCGCAATCAACCAGTTTAGCAAGGTAGCAGGATATAAAATCAACACACCAAAGTCAGAGGCCTTCTTATACACAAACAACCAATCAGAAGATGCAGAAAAAAAAAAAAATCCCCTTTTCAATTGAAACAAAAAGAATCAAATAACTGGGAATAAACCTAACAATTGATGTAAAAGACCTATATATAAAATACTATAAAACACTGTTAAAAGAAATACAAGACACCAAGAAATGGAAAGATTTCCCCTCCTTGAGAATTGGAAGAAAACATCATCAAAATGGCCATCCTACCAAAAGTGATATACAGATTTAACACTATCCCAATAAAAGTCTCAGTGACATTCTTCAAGGAAATAGAACAAATACTAATGAGATTCATATGGAACCACAAAAGACCTCGAACAGCCAAAACTCTCATAACTAAATAGAAAGGGAATGGAGGCACCACATTCCCAGATTTCAAGCTAAATGACAAAGCTTAATAATCAAAACTGTATGCAGTGAAACAAGAACAGATACACTGACCAGTGGATTCAAATAGAAAACTCAGATATAAACCCACAGTTTTATGGGCAGGTAATCTTTGACAAAGGAGCAAAGAATATACAATGGAACAAAAAAAGTCTGTTCAACAAATAGTGCTCGGGATGCAAACTAATGAAACTAGATTACTACCTTGCACCATGCACAAAAACCAACTCAAAGTGGACTTTACGTCTTTAGGTCTACCTTGTAGACCTAAGACTTGAAGCCATAAAATACCTGGAAGTAAAAGAGGGCAAAGCACTACACGACATACACTTCAGTAACATCTTTAAAGATAAAACACCCAACACAAAGGATAATGAAGGAAAGGATATACAGCTAGGACTACATCAAGTTCAAGAGCTTCCATATAGCAAAAGAGACATGACAAAAAATAGACATCCCACTCACTGTTTGGGAAACAACCACATCAAAAAATGGGCAGAAGAGCTAAAAAGACACTTCTCCAAAGAGGAAATGCAGAAGGCCGACAAGCATATGAAAAATGGTCAACATCACTTGTAATAAGGGAGCTGCAAAACTGCAATGAGATACCACCTCACACCAGTGAAAATGGCACATCTTAAAACAACTAGCAACAATAAATGTTGGTGAAGATGTAGAAATATAGAAACTCTCCTGCACTGCTGGTGGGAATGCAAACTAGTACAACCACTATGGAAAGCTGTTTGGAGGTTCTCAAACTGCTAAACATGGAGCTTCCATAGGACCTGGCAATCCTACTCCTAGGTATCTATCCAAAAGACACACAAAAAACTGATTCAAAAAGATACCTGCACCCCCATGTTTATTGCTGCTTTACTTACAATAGGAAAGACATGGATCAACTCAAATGCCCCAAGAAAGATTGGATTAAAAGATGTGGTACATGGCCCTCCCTGGTGGCGCAGCGGGTTAAAGCACAGCACTGAGAATCTGAAGCCACTTCCGCATGAGTTCGATTCCCGCCTGCCGCCTGCCCCGGAGGAGACCACATGGCGAGCCAGACCTCTCCTGACCCGCCCGCTGCTCCCCTCAGCAGTGTACTTCGTCAATCTGCCTGTTCTGCTCCCCACTCTGTCTCTGGTGAAGCCTCTCACCGTCCCTGAGCCTCTGGCCTGTACCCCAGTTCTGTATGAATAAATAAATAAATCTTTAAAAAAAAAAAAAAAAAGATGTGGTACATATACACAATGGAATATTATTCAGCAACCAAAAAAGATAACCTCATGCCTTTTGCAGCAACATGGATGGAGCTGAAAGGGATCATGCTTAGTGAAATAAGCCAGAAAGAAAAAGAAAAATACTGGATAGTTTCACTCACAGCAGAAGCATAAAGGACTGGGGGTAATAAAAAACAATGAACAACCATATACCAGAGACATTTTATAGGGGTGGAGTGGGGAATGATATAAAAAATGGAGGGTGGTGGGGGACAGAAGTACATGGGGCTACGGTGATGGCACATGGGGTAACTGGTGATGGGAAGGCCTTGGGGAATGCTCTGAGATAGAAAAAAGGCACAAAGTGATAGAAAAATAAACTATTATTAAAAAAATATATGAGTTACTGTCATAGTTGTCCTAAAGTGAGACCAAACAATAAAATACGTACTATACACATAGAATTTTGCTGAAAATCCAAGAGATAAAATTACCTTTTCAATGCTTGTTTAGCAGCACTCTCGTTCTTAAACACAACATAAGCATTGATGTTTTTCTGGTCAGGATGAACTTTACGTCTACAGCCCAGATTAAAAAAAAAAAAAAAAAAAAGACAGTGTAAAATGTTTTCATCTCCAAGTCACTAAAATAAATACTGTACAAAGGTCACTCACACTCTGCATTACTTATAATAGCCACAAGCTAAGAAAAATTCCAAATGTCCATCAGTGATAGTTTTGTTAAAGCAAATTGTGGTATAGCTTATAGAATTCTAAGATGCTCTGTAAAAAAAAAAATGGAGAAGTAGTTTTTACACTGATATGAACAGATTTTTAAGTATAACAAGTGGTAAAAAGGAAGATGTAGAGTAATATATGTATTAAATACCACTGGTCCAAATGTTATGTGTGGGGATATGAACATACATGTGTACTAGTTTATAAATTCACAATGTCACCAGAAGGTTACTGATGACCCCACACCAGCAAAAATGGCCCACATTAAAAAAACTGACAACAGCAAATACTGTCAAGGATATAGAGAAAAACTTGCTGGTGGGAATGCAAACTGGCCAACCACTATGGAAAAGTGCGTGGGGGACCGTCAAATTATTAAAATGGATCTATCATTTGGCCCAGCAATTCCACTCCTAGAAATCTACCCAAAGGACACACAAAAATAATATAAAGAAAACCTGCACTCCTGTGTTCATGACAGCATAACTTACAATAGCTAAGATATGGAAACAACTTAAATGCCCAAAAACAGATAACAGGATCAACAAGATATGATATATATACACAGTGGAATACTACTCTGATGGCACTGGAAGGGATTATACTCAGTGAATGAGAAAGGGAAAAGAAAGATGCCAGATCATTTTACTTATAAGAAAAATACAGGAAAACTGAACAAATAAACAAGGAAAATAGAAACAAAACAAAGCAAACTATACAACTGAGGCATATCACAGGGAAGGGGGGAAGGGTTTTAAAAAGAGAGGGGACAAACATGATGGTTAACAGGTTATTTGGTGGAAATTTTATGGGGATTACACATGAGGGGAGAAATAAAACATTATACGAAAATGAACAATGATAGAGAAAAAGATAAAGTAAAACCACAGGTACCTGAGGCAGGAAACTGGCAGACTAGGGTCGAAGTATAGGAATTTTTCATTGCATGTTAAGTGTTTTTAGACAGGATAGGGAGGGGGAAAGCCTTTGACTCCATTTTTATGACACTAGATTTCCTCATACTATAAAATACTCTTATAACAGAACCTTTTCTTCTACTGACATATTACTATGACATACTCCTATAACAGAATCTTTGCTTCTACTGAAATTTAGGTCCCTGGGTTCCAATCTCGCACAAAAACAAGTCTACAATCTCCAAAGAACATGGCTTGTGTCTTGCCAAGTTTTACATTCTCTATAGCATTTTATTATTGTCTCCTATAAAGGACTTACATGTTTGATTACTGGAGAAAAAATAATTGGATTAACACATATTGATAAAAAATGAACTATATATCTGGCACTGGAATGGTTACGGGGTAAAAATGACAAAGTCCTGGTCCTCCAAATAATTCCAAATTAGGAATGAATGTAGAAATGAACTTGTCAAAATGGTCAAGGAGATGATTCAAATTATTTTATATAGAAGAGGATTTGAGCTTCTTTACATAGACGAGGATTCCCAGGAATGTTTTTAAAGTACACTGTAAGTTATTACTATATCTATACAGAGATCTAACGTATCGAGACCATATATATATATATATATATCTTATGTATACGTCGTGTGTGTATAATATATCCCCTCTCCTAAAATCCATCATTTCAAGTACCAATAAGAATAAAAAAGTACACCAGATTGGGAAAATAGTAGGAAAAACACAAAAATCTAAAGGTTAATGAGAAATAAAGGTTTTATAAAATTTATATATGGCAGCTATATTTGAATTAAGAAAATAAATGAGAAATAAATTTTAGTTAGGAAACTTGAAAGCTCACCCTTGGCAACAAGGGCAGAAATACGTGGAAAAGTAAATGGGAATCCTGAGCATCAGAATCAAAAGCCATACTACTTGTTTGGTTCAGAAACTCTTATAGACAACAGAAAGCGGTCTTGGCTTGGTAGTACCCCAATGAACACAAAGTGTTCCCGCAAAAACCTGACCAGCCAAGAACTATGGAGCACCTCTGATTTTCAGATGTATCTTGATTTCAATGTGGTAAGGAATGTGTGCCCTGAAATGACGAAACTCAGCATTCATGATTCATACTGGAATATTTGGACACACATTTTATTTCCTTTCAAATACTACACCTGATTGACCCCGTTCAAGTTTCTCAGGGTACATTACTATAAGTTATTTTACAGTATGCGCCATGACTCTACAATTCACGTTAAGGCTTAAAGACCAGAATCTGCCAATTTTTTGTATTACAGACACAAAGAATCAGTCCAAGTATGATGAATTACCCAAACAGAAAAATCTATTAAGAAACAATCTTGATTTCTAACCAAAATGGAAATTTAAACTATCTTCTTTTCTTTAATTATAAACTTACTTTATTGCTGCCACCTTTTTGGACATAGTTTCCTCTGCTGGAACCTTTTAAGAGAAAAATAAAATTAGAGAAAATTTATCATTTGAAATATTGTGCCAAATTAAATTTCTTAAAGATTTATTTATTTACACATGCAAGAACTGGGGTACAGGTCAGAGGTGCAGGGGGTGAGAGGATTCACCAGAGACAGAATGGGAAGCAGAACAGGCAGATTAGCTGCAGATAGCTTCATAGTGCTGCACTTTAACCCCATGGCCACCAGGGAGGGTCCTCAAATTAAATTTTACTTAATTGAATTATAAATTTCTAACTCTGACATGAGTTTACTGACACAATAAAATCAGAAACAACTATCCTAGTGTTATATTAATGAGACCTAGTAGATAAGGACAGAAACAACCAAAGACAGTACTATGCAGAGATCAAACAGATCCTAAGCAGAAGCAAAAATACTGTGGCCTCAAATTTTGTCAGAGGACTTGAAGTGGTATCTAGTCATGGGGGACAGCGATGTTAAAGATGTACATGCAGAATGTAAAGAAAGCTGTTTTATAAAACAAGCATGGTAAAGGTAACATTTGTAACTTGGTAAATTTTGCACATCCTGTATGATTTTTAACATGTCAAACTAAAATGATAAATAACCTAAGAAGACATATTACTTCACCCAGTTCTATAAAGCATATAGATGACAGCTGGAAAACAAAATAAGGAAATAGCCTCTATATGTAGGTTCACTTCTAGTCTTATGTAGTATTCAAGAGTGGAGGAAATAGTAAGGAAACTTTTATGGAGGAAGTTCAATAAAAAACTGTCAGGTGTGTATCAATATAGCCAGGTACTGAGAAGATGAAAGCACAAGATATAGAGACCCCTGTCAGTTCACAGACTAGAAGCACCTGTGAAGTTTTGACTTGTTTAAGGGAGTTCTAAATCTCTGGAAAACTTTCTTAGCCATCTTATGAAGTCTTGAATAACTAACACTGCAACTGCCTACAGTATCTTGATAGACAAAATGGAAATTTAAGTAGGAACTCTTGCTAAAAAGCTGAGAAAAGATCAAGTGTGAGAAGGCCAAGAGTATGTACAGTAACAAGCATAGTTCCTAGGCTATAGGACTTATGTACGGAGGAACACAGACCCTTGGAATCACCCTGTCCAGACCACCAGGCTAAGATGGACAGATCTCACTGACAAGAATAACAGGAAGTTTTTAAGAAATTCCATATATACTTGCTGTGCACTATGTACGTGTACTTGTAATCAAGATGAGCTAGGTATTGTAATCACAGCTTACAGTATGGTGGAGCAGACAGAAAACAAAAAACAATTCCACGATAGTTATCACAAGGACTACATTGCAGTATGGGTGCTGCACAGCACACAGCAGGATCACCAAGGATGCCAGTGGCCTAGTGACACAGAAGAATCTGGGCAGGTTGCCACAAAGTAATATCAGGCCAAGGTATGTAGATAGGGGTGATATACAGAGGTAGGAGGGAGAAAGAGAGAGAGAATAATGTACAATATATAATGTATAATGTTGGGGGGGTGGGAGGAGGTCAGGCAGGAGTTCAGAAAGAACTCTTTAGAGCAATTAAGTTGACAGCAGTATTTTGGCTAAATCAGAGATACGCTAAAGTCAGTAATAGCAACTATTCTGGCAAGAGGTATAATCAAAACTTTGGTGGAACAATGAAAACAGAAAAATATCTTGAGAAGAAAGCACAACTGAAAACAGCAGAGATAACAACAGATCAGGTAGGCCAAAGAAGAGTGAAAGGCAGGGCACTTCCTGGTGGTGCAAGGAGTTAAAGCACAGCACTATGAAGCTATCTGTAGCCAGTGCAGCATGAGTTCGATCCCCAACAAGGAAGGTGACCCACATGGTGCAGCACACCTCTCCTGTCTTGCCTGCTGCTCCCTTCGGCAAAGTATCCATCAATCTGCCTGTTCTGTTCCCCACTCTGTCTCTCAACTTCCATACCTCTGGCCTGTACCCCAGTTCTTTTATGCCTATATAAATAAATCTTTAAAAAGAGTCAACGGTAACCACAAAGCCCACAGTCTGGGGAGCACTAAATACAGAAAATCAACAGACAGCACAGGTAGCGTGAGAGGCAGATGAAGGTTTAAGCACAGACATGTTAAAACTAGGTTCAAGACATGTTAAAACTAGGTTCAGGACACTCAAGTGGATGTGTCACACATAAATCTAGTATGGGGAAATGGCAGAAGAGTAAATATGTAATAAAAGTGAGACACCAATTCCATTAGAGAAGCTATACAAAGCTCTCCCTGTGGCACAACAGGTTAGGATGCTCACTGCAAGCTAGCTGCAGTGGCTTCAGTGCAAGTTCGATTCCTGGCCCTGGATGTGATCTACATGACACAGCAGACCTCTCCTGTTTTGCCCCCGCTGTTCCCCTCAGCAGTGTACTTTGTCCATCTTCCTGTTCTACTCCCCACTCTGTCTCTGGTGAATCCTCTCATCCCCTGCACCTCTGACCTGTACCCCAGTTATGTATGCATCGATAAAAAATCTTTAAAAAATAATTTAAAAGAGAAATTATAGACTGTTCCAAAACCTTGGGAGATGTCAACTTGCCCACTGGGGCATTTAGCCATATCTCGAACTTTACTGGTTCTGACAACTGGGATAGAAAGGATACTGCCAGCTTCTAGTAGACAGAAGCAAAAATATTACTAAACATCCACAATGTGCAGGGCAGCCTCTAACAAAGTATTATCCAGCCCAAAGGTCAACAGTATTTAGGTTGAGAAATCCCATTTTAGAGTGCCACATGAGAAAGGGCAGCTAGAAACAAAAAAATAAATATTTCTTAAATATTCTAACGCACATTAATTTAAAAAATACAGTGGATGCTTATGACATGCTCTGAGGATCATGGTATAATTAGAGAGTTGTTGGTGAGATGGGATATCATTTATTCCTATAGTTTTTTTTTTTTTAAAAGATTTATTTATTTGTGCATACATTACTGGGGTACAGGCCAGAGGCTCAGTGAGAGGCTTCACCAGAGATAGAGTGGGGAACAGAACAGGCAAATCGAGGAGGTACACTGCTGAGGGGAGCAGCGGGCGGGTCAGGAGAGGTCTGCCACACCATGTGGTCACCTCCGGGGCAGGCGGGAATCGAACTCATGCGGAAGCGGCTTTGGATTCTCAGTGCTGTGCTTTAACCCGCTGCGCCACCAGGGAGGGCCCTATTTCTATAGTTTTAACACAGATTTAAAATAAAAAACTTTCATGCTCAGAACCTAAGTTCTGCTGCAGCAGTCACAAAAACCTCCCATACTGAATATCTATGATTCCAGAAATGCTTTTCAATAAATACTAACCTTTCTGCTTACTCAGTAAACACAACAAACAAATACCACCCAGCCATCCCACAAAAATACACTGTTGGCCTTAGTAACAATAAGGGTATTATTTTACTACGTGAACCCATCAAATTATCTGACAAAGTCTGAGAGTCACTAAGATCAATTCTTTTTGGGCTGATTTCAACTTGTGGACTCAAAATCTTAGAAATCAAGTGTTCATCTCACTAACACAAGACATTAGTAACTCTGATTCAATAAAATACACTTTAAGATTATGCAATTTTAAGGGGTGAAGGGTGGAAAACATACCAGAGACCGAAATCGTACAGATTCTATTTGTCCATATTCTTTAAAAAATGACTTCAGGTTCTACAATATAAATAAATACATAAATACACACACACACACACACATTCTTCATTTGTGCTACTTTCAGAGTATCAAATAAGGGTTACAAAAAGGAACTAAGCAAAGTCATCTGATAATCTTTTACTATGATGTTTTGTTACAAGAGCATTTTGGGGGAAAAGGTGACCAGTCAGTTGGAAGACAAAAGATTTTTCTGAAATTTATGTCTAAAGAAAACATAAGCTCATGTTAGTATCCATAAGGGACCAAACATTTTTTACCTTATAGTCTTTTGTAATCTTTACCATGTGAAAACTAAGATTATACATCCCACAGATAATCTTACCTTTTTTTTTTCTTTCATATGGCTTATACCAGAAAGAATTTCAAGGATGCTTATATTTGTATAAGAATTGTCCCAAGTGTTGGGAATTAGGACCGGCATATTGAAATTTAGAGAGTAAATTTTCTATGTTTTTCTTGTGGCTAGCTTAGAATGTGAAGAATGCTAAGAATGTGTTTGATAACTAGGGCAATAATTTCTATAACCAATTTTAATTCAAAAATAATTTACTGAATGTACAAAGCATTACACATGCTCCCTTCCCTTGAGCTATTTATAATCAAACAATCACAAATAAAATACTAGGAGACAAAGGGTAAAGGGACAGCAAAAACCAGGATATTTTTTGTACTGTTTTATTTCTAAGGAAGTGGAATTTGAATTCCAAGGAAATGGAATTCAAGGGATGTACATGAGTTTGACCCAAGGAACTGCCAAAAGTGTTACTATCACATGGAAGAAACTTCATTTACACATTTTTGTATTCAATGTGTAATTCACTTACACAACTAATATTTACTGAGCTTCTAGTAGGCGCTATTGTGAGGTGCTAAGGACAGAGCAGTGAAGAAAAAAGATAACTATCCGTGCACATACAGAGTTTACATTATAATGGCAGGTGGCTGGAAGGAAAAAACCCGGACAGAAGACCACAGCAACAGTTCAAAAGAATTTGCAAAAGTCTTAATTAGGTCAGTGACTATGGGTAAGGAATGGTGTTCTAAACAGAATCAGTCTATAAAACAATTTATGTAGTCATTTATAATGAAGTTATGTGTCACTGACTTATTATGTGCTTATTTAATAAAAAATAAACAAAGAAATTAATTTCTCTGAATTTTTACACTATACAGTACAAACTCACCTTTTTATTACATGTAACAGGCAAATTTCCAACAAACACTGTTCTTTCATTCTTTAATCTCTCTTCTTCTTGGTTGATTTTAATTTTCTTCCTTTGATTTACAACTATGTGGTCTACACCATCAATTACTTTTTTATCTGTTACTTGGACATCAGATTGAGAGCTTTTCCTTTTCTGCCCTTGTTTCTGGTGAACTTCTTCTTCTAAATCTGCACTTGCTAATGCATTTTCTCTTAAGAAAGAAAGAAAAAGTGTCATGGAAGTCAGGTATAGAAATTGACAAAGCACAGTGATTAATTTCCACCTATTTCTGGTTGTTGTATGTATAAGCTAAGCAATCACAAATATCTCTAAATTCTAAAGGGTTATTATCTAAAAGTGACTAGTATCTTCAGAAAAACTATAGGGTTAGAACAAAATAAGCCCAATTTTTTAAGATATGTGAAAACTGTCATCAGGCAATTGAGCAACAAAAGTTCACTTAAACAAAAGTTGATTCATTAGAAATTCTTGAAGACTTAGTTAATGTATCAATGTCTAATTTCATTCTCTGCTTTAGAAGTCCTGGAGTTGTGTAATAGTCTTAGTGAGTCTATAAAGGTTAACATGCAAAACACTTTGTAAAAGCAATCTGCCTAAGGGGGAAAAAAAAATTCCTACTTAATATAGTTATGCAGTATTTAAGACTGCTTGTTGAAAATATACTATTTAGACAAGGCAAATATAATAGAAGTATTGGTGTACATGGGTGAGGTCTAAGCATCAGTACAAAAAGAGAACTGGACTTTGATCCGAAGGATGGAGGGAAAAGAATAGGAAACCTAATAATGATTCACTGATTCAAAAACATTAACTAGGTTTCTAATTAGTACTAACCTTGGACTATATAAACTACAAAAGACCTTTCAATGGTCTGTGAGAGAAGTCCACAATAAAAGAGTAACATTTCTTTTACATGACATTAAAAAAAAAAAAAAGAAATGTTTCTCAGAGGCAGAAAGCCTATTGGGCATAGTCAGTACTCAATAAATGTTGACTAGTTACTCTTCTGTAGACCATATGCTCCACTACAGAGAGGGTCTATGATTAATTTTGTTCACTATGGCATATAAACTTCCTACCAGGAGTGAAAGGAAGCAAAATAGTATGATACAGTGGAACCAGCTCAAGGAGGACCAAGCTTTGTTACACAAAGTGCTTAGATTTTATCCCACAGAAAATGGGTTACCATTGAAGACTGAGATTGTCCCTGAAAAGATCTGTTGCATGACAGAATAGAAGATAGTTAAGAAGAAAAAGGCTGGAAAAGGGAGACCAACAAAGAGGCAGTTACAATTGTATGTATCTGAAAAGCCAAAAGACCAACCAGAGCAAGAGAGACCAACCAGTATAGAAAGGGGAAGGTAGATTAATTTAAAAGACAGCATCAATAGAACTTGGCAGCTGTTAAGCTAGGGAGGGAAAAAGAATATAAGATGACACTCCATCAGGCAAGTGGAAGTTTGGTAGAACCCACTCTTCATACACAGGAATAGGTTTAATGAAGATAAACTCAGTTTGAAGAATTCAAAATTTAAGGCATATAAGGAATAGCCAGTTGCAGGTGTCACTGGACAAACAAATGACAGTCTGGAGATGAGGAGAAAGATCAGAAGGGTGGTATCATGGACACAAATGAGACTGCTCAGAATGAAGGGTGAAAAAATGTCAATAGAATAGAAGATGACTGCAAGGAGATTCCTGAGGAAAATAACCCTTATGGAGCAATGAAAAGAAAAGGTGATTACAACCCTGAGAAGGAACAAAGAGAATCAGAAGTGCCTGAAATCAAAGAGTAATAAGGCTTAGAAAAGAAAAGCTGCCAACTAAAATTAACAGAGAAGACTCCTAAGACAAAGGTCTTTTTTTTTTTTTAAAGATTTATTTATTTATTCATACAGAACTAGGATACAGGCCAGAGATGTGGAGGGTGAGAGGATTCACCAGAGACAGAGCGGGGAGCAGAACAGGCAGATCGATGAAGTACACTGCTGAGAGGATCAGCAGGCGGGTCAGGAGAGGTCTGCCACGCCATGTGGTCACCTCCGGGGCAGGTGGGGATCAAACTCATGTAGAAGTGGTTTTAGTTTCTTAGTGCTGTGCTTTCACCCGCTGCACCACCAGGGAGGGCCCAGACAAAGGCCTTTTTAAAATGTGGCAAGGGGCCCTCCACTGCTACCCTCAGCAGTGTACTTCATCCATCTGCCTGTTCTGCTCCCCACTCTGTCTCTGGTGTATCCTCTCACCCTCCCCATCTCTGGCCTGTACCCCAGTTCTGTATGAATAAATCTTAAAAAAAAAATGTGGCAAGTAGGTCACAGTGGCTTCACCCAGCACTGTTTCAGAAGTATGATCAGATCAAATAAAAACAAACGAAACAAATTGATAAGAGACCAGAAAAGGTCAAGAGGACAAGTACATATATATACATACACATATTTTATATACATACACATATTTTTTAAAAGATGAGAATCCTGAACATGTTTACATGGCAGACAGGTCATGGATGTAGCTGAAGAAAAAGGATGTATCTATGTGATGGCATTGTCCCAAAGGATTCAGAAGGGGAGGCACATGGAGCACAGGTGACAGAATTGACACTGGGCAGGGAAGACATCTTTCTCTGAAAGGGGAAGAAATCAAGGGCTGGAATAGATGCATTAAGTAGAAAGACAAACAATAGCAATTCACAACTTTTAGCTAGTAATAGCTCTCTGCATAGATAACAAGATCTCCTCCTACGAGAAACAAGGAGCTTGAAAAGTGTGGTTTTATAGACTGAAAAATATTAGGAATTTGTGATGGTACTGCGATTTACACTTGAGTTCAAATAAGCCTTAAAAAAGTTTTTAATAGGAGAAATTTGATCTCTGGGTAAGTTTAAAAAACTCAAACTGGCCCTCCCTGGTGGCACAGTGGGTGAAAGCACAGCACTAAGAAGCTTAAGCCACTTCCGCATGCATGAGTCCTGTCCCTGCCTGCCCTGGAGGTGACCCACATGGCAGGGCAGATCTCTCCTGACCCGCCCGCTGCTCCCCTCAGCAGTGTACTTCATCCATCTGCCTGTTCTGCTCCCCACTCTGTCTCTGGTGAAGCCTCTCACCGCCCTTGAGCCTCTGGCCTGCACCCCAGTTCTGTATGCACAAATAAATAAATCTTTAAAAAAAAATCTCAAACTGATCTTTTATAAATATATGCAGAAATATTTAAAAACAAAACAAGTTTAGGTTTTCGTTCAAATAATGAGATGGATATAAATGGGGTAAAGATAATAAAAGACTGGCTAAGTATTTAGTGACTGTTGATGCAAACATGGGGATCTTTATTCAACTCTTAAACATTTCCAAAGTTAAAAAAAAAATGAGAACTCTGAAATGACGGGAAAAAAATAAGCTACTACATGTACAAGAATCTGAATTTCTTTACCATTTATTATCTCTAACATCAACTAACGCAATTTTACCAACCTGTTTGCCAACGTTTTGTCTGCAACAGAAAGTCTCTTCACTTTCATTGTTTTGGCAGACTCTTGCAAAAATGGTCTTTGATTTTGGGATGTACTTTCCTCCTCTTCATCCTGTTTCCTTTTTTTGGTGGTCTCCTTTTAAAAGTTGAAAGTTAGGGTTGAGAGTTCATCCTTTTTAATAATTCAGTGGTTTTTCTAAATTAGTATCTCCTCTCTCACTGATAATGTCCAGTAATGAACATAATTTAAGACTTAATCCCACCTGTCCTACCAGTCAGGCCCTGCAATGTTGATTGTTTATTTTAAAGTAATTCTAATGGACCATTCGGAACAAAGCCCAGTGACTTACTTTAGGCACAGGCACGTACAAGGGTTGCAGCTGAGGGTCAAAAGAGCTGAAGAGGGACGCCAGTCGACCTGTTCTGCCGCGGGGCTTGCCGTGGAATAAGCTACTGGCGACTTGTCCAACCAGATAGTCTCCTCTCAGATTTTCACCAACATCACCGTCCGGATTCTCTCTAGGTACCGATGACAGAACTCAGCGACACCACCCCACACCCCACGCTTCTCCCGCCCCGGATCCCGAAGGCACACCCTTGCCCAGTTAAACCTGGCGCGTGCCACTCACCCATACTGGGATCTTCTCCTTCACGTGCCCCTAGCCCACGCAAAAATACTGAGCCCCACGCACCCCACCTGTGCGTGCTCCTAGCCTAGATAAATGTGCCACGCGCCAATTACCCCTTCTTCTGAGCTCTTCTCCTTTTCTTCTGCTTGCTTTCTCCTTCCAAAGCCATCTCTTCGCGAGGCCACAGAGAGCGTAGCAAGTGAGCCGCACTTCCGGGTTCCCCTACTTCCGCTCCAGAGGCACGCCCCTTCCTCTCTGCTTCGTTTTTCCTGCAGCCCCCAGTAAGCGGGAGCGTTATCTGAGCGGTGGATTTGGGTTTCTCGCGCATCTTGTCCTTCGCTCTTTGTAAGCGAAACCTAGTCTTGGAATAGAAGTCTTAAGAGAGTTATTGAGGGCTGAAGAATGTTACAAGGAAATTCCTGGACTAGGAGTGGGAGTACTTTCCCTCCAAGCTTAGGAAAAAAATATTACTAAAAACCCTGAATTGTTAGAGGGAAGGAGGTCCATTAAAAAGGTTACAGGGGGCCCTCCCTGGTGGCGCAGCGGGTTAAAGCGCAGCGGGTTAAAGCGCAGCGGGTTAAAGCGCAGCGGGTTAAAGCGCAGCGGGTTAAAGCGCAGCACTGAAAAGCTAAAGCCACTGCCGCATGAGTTCGATTCCCGCTTGCCCCGGAGGTGACCACATGGCGTGGCAGACCTCTCCTGACCCGCCTGCTGCTCCCCTCAGCAGTGTACTTCGTTGATCTGCCT